ATCTGAAATTGCGTATGTGAGTACAACTCTACACGAGAAGTTCAATGGTGCAAACTAAAACTCAATCCGACTTTTAATTTCGGAAATACGCGTGAACGAAAGTTAAGAAAAAAATACAGACATTTCGTAAAAAATTCGAAAAAAACTAATTTCATCGCATTCATCTGAAACTACGTATGTGAGTACAACTCTACACGAGTAGTTCAGTGGTGCAAACTTGACCTCAATCCAAATATTAGTTTCGGAAATACGCCCGAAAGAAAGTTAAGAAAAAATACAGAAAATTCGTAAAAAATTCGAAGAAAAAAATTTCATCGCATTCATCTGAAATTACGTACGTGTGTACACCTTTTCACGAGAAGTTCAATGGTGCAAACCAGATCTCAATACGACTATTAGTTTCGGAAATACGCCCGAAAGAAAGTTAAGAAAAAAATACAGAAATTTGGTAAAAAATTCGATAAAATCTAATTTAATCGCATCCATCTGAATTTACGTATGTGGATACAACTCTTTACGTGAAGTTCTATGGTGCAAACCAGATCTCAATCCGACTGTTAGTTTTGGAAATACGCGTGAACGAAAATTAAGAAAAAATACAGAAATTTAGTAAAAAATTCGAAAAAACTAAATTCATCGCATTCATCTGAAATTGCGTATGTGAGTACAACTCTCCACGAGAAGTTCAATAGTGCAAACTAGAACTCAATCCGACTAACAGTTTCGGAAATACGAGTGAAAGAATGTTAAGAAAAAATACAGAAATTTGGTAAAAAAATCTAAGAAAATCAATTTCATCTCTTACCTTTGAAATGACGTATGTGAGTACAACTCTTCACGAGAAATTAAATGGTGCTTATCAGACATCAAACCGTCCAATTGTTACGGAAATGCGCGTGAATGAACGTTAAGAAAAAATTGGAGAAGTTTGTCGAAAAAATTGAAAAATCCGTCTTATAGTTTCAAACCAAAAACAGGAAAACAAAGAACAAAAATACAAAAAAACACAAAATCGAATATATGAAAAACCGAAAACATGAAAACCGATTAACCAAAAGATCGAAAAATCGAAAAAACCACAAATCAAAAAACGAAAATGAAAAAGGAACTAAAAGAAATGAAAAGGCAACAAACGGACAAACGCACAGACGAACAACATGACGAACAAAGGAAAAAAACAAAAACAAGAACAAAAACGGTAATTATAAAATAAACAAACAAAAACGAAAAATTAGAAACGAAAAAGGATAAAAGACAATGAAGTAACAAACAAACGAACACGCGAAAGAACTAACAAACGAACAAGAAAGAAACAAAAATACAAACTAACAAGAAAAAGAACGAATTATCGAGCAAACGAACAAACAAACAAGCGAATAAATAATTAGACGATCTAAACAAGAAACAAACGAAGAAACAAAAGAAAAAACGGGCATTCGAACATACAAACGAACAAACGAACAAAGCAAAAACCTCGATTTCAAAAATCTTAAACCCAAAAATTGTAAAACAAAAAACATAGTGAACGATTCAACAACAAAAAAGCAAGGAACCGAAACAAATAAACACCAAAAACAAAAAAAGAAGGCAAAATCAAAACACCAAGTAAACAAAAAACGGAGAAAAAACAGAAAACAATTAACAAATATCAAAAACAAAAATACAAGAAACAACACTAAAACTCCAAAAAAACAAAATATAAAAAAAACTGTAAAACGAAAAACGATAAACCTAATAACCGAAACCAAAAAGTGAAAAACGAAAAAGGTAAATCAAAAAATGAAGAAACAAAAACACAAACGAACAAATGAACAAACTAACAATTGAACGAACAATCACAACAACTGAACGAACAAAAGAAAAGACAAAAAACAAAAAAAACAAATCAAAAGACGAAAAACGAGAAACAACGACAACAAATGAACAATCGGAAAACGAACAAACGGACAAAAACATAAACATACAAACGGTCATACGAACAAACGAAAAATCCAAAGAATTATAAAAATAAAAACTTAAAATCAAAATACCTAAAAACAAAAAATCCTAATATTAAAAAACATTAAAATTTAAAAAACCAAAAAATCTTAGTACCAAGATTTAGTAAACTTAAAATCCAAAACTATTGAATGAAACACCAAAAACAAAAAATCAATAATTAAAAAAACAAAAAACAAAAATAAAAAGCAAACCAAAAAAAACAGAAAAAAACAAAACAACAAAAAGAAGGAGAAAGAAGCAAAAAATCATAAAACCGAAAAGCAAAAACAAAAAACAAAAAAACAAAAAAGAAAAACAAAAACATAGATCCAAAGAAACAAAAATTCAAAATAGCAAAACAAAAAACGAAAAACCGAATATCCTAATAACAAAGAAACGGAAAACAAAAACAAAAAACTAAAATAATAAATTCAAGAAAACAAAAAAAAGAGACAAAAAACAAGAACCAAAAACCAGAAAACCAGAAAACGAAAAAAACAAAAAACAAACCGAAAACGGGAAACGAAAATGGAACAAACTAAAAATCGAACAGACGCACAAACGAACAAACGATCAAATAAACCGAACAAACGAAAAAACGCGAAAACAAAAAAAATGAGATCGAAAACAAAAGAACTGAAATACGAAAACGAAAAGGCGGAAATACGAAAACGAAAATAAAATAGAAAAAAATACGGATAAATGAAAGCGTAACAACGAAAACAAAAAGGACAAAAGCAAAATAACGACTTTGAAAAAAGAAAACAAAAAAACAAATGGAAAAACGGATACAAAAAACGGAAATTAAAACGAAAAAAAAACAAATATAAAAAACCAAAACGAAACCGAAAAAGTAAAGTGAAACCGAAAAACCAAAGCGAATCCGAAAAACCAAAACAAAGTAAAAACAATTAAATAAACGAAAAATCAAAACGAAGAAACGAAAACGAAAAACTGAACACAAAGACGAAGAACGACAAAATGAAAGACGAAGACAAAGACAAATGACGAAGACGAAAGACGAAGACGATAATCGGAAAAAGAAAGACGGACGATGAAGAAATGCGAACACAAATGGAAATGACGAAACGCGATAGACGAACACAAAGATGAAATACGATGACCTAAGACGAAAGAAGAACACCAAAGTTGATTAAGGACGGCGTTGAAAGACGAAGAAGAGTGATGAAAAAGCAAAGGACGATGGCGAAGACGAATCATGAAGACGAAAGACAGACGTATACGAAAAAGTTTAGACACTATTTTACCGTTTATTTGATATTTAATTAGCAGGTCAAAACACGGGATGCAATAGGCACGGCATTACTCTAAGGAGTTCTCTGCTTTATTACGACATAACTCTAACTCTTAGAAATTTCCGCTCTTCAAATACACACGCCTCGTGTTAAGGAAGTAATGTAGTGAGGTGTAATGTAGTAAGGAAGTAATGTTCAAGTCAGGAGGCTCAAATAGAGAATGCAAAAATCTAAAATATTTAGAGTATCGCTGTTTTGCTGTACTTAATATAGGCTTTATTTGTAACGAATTGCTTGTGAATGTTTCAGTTTTTGGAATATTGTAAAAATGAAAATAAATATTACTTTCCTAAAACCTTTGAAGAAAAATGTAATAAATACTAGAATGAATACACTTTTGCTTGGATCAATAGTTGAAACAATGCTGTAAGCTCTTAAAACAATGCTGTACCGATTGACTGAAAACAGGCTAGCGTTCGAACGAGGAAAAAGGAATTAAGTGTATCTGAATAACTGAAAGCTACAAAATAAAGCTAAAAAGGTGAAGAAGCACCTAGACCTTGGCCAGGCAGATAATGTCGATTGCAGAAGGAAACCACCTGAAAGCAGTGAGGTGTATAAAAATCGTCTCTGTGAAGAGTGCTTCTCGAGTGTTTACGTTCCTGGTAGGGTGATAGGGCAAGATCCAAAAGCAAGTTGCCACACACGTCATTCCCGTTCAGGACGGAGGGAGACAGGACTGGGACAGGAAAGGAGAAATGAAAAAGAAAGGGGAAAGGCTGTGGTCTAAAGGCGAAGGACACGGTGGGAGAGGAAGTTCGTGAGAAGAATGTGGCTAAGAAAATTTGGGGGGGGCGGGCCGGGAGGAGAGTGAAGACAGGACAGTTCCGGAAAATCCGGGGACAATAGGAGAGGGATGGGTGCTAGTGTGGGTCAGTGGCGTACATGGGACAGAGGCAAGTGCTTCTAGAAAGGGTGCAATGGACCGAGATCGGGAAGGACCACCGGAGCCAGCGAGATGCCTTAGGACTAGGGCGAGGAACCCAGAGGACTTCCGACCGGTTGAGAACGTGTGTCAGAGAAGCAATAGTGGTGTCGAGATGATAGTTTTAGCGGGGAAGTGAGTTGGCGGATTAACGAAGTCTTTAGAGCTGGGGTGCTACATCAGCGTCACAAACACCGCGCGCACCTGAGCGCGAGTAAGGATCAACGTAAGAGAAACCACAGCTCAGTGCTATAAGCCTTAGTGTGAGCGATTGCCAGAGAAGGACACTCTGTTGCACGGAGTGGTCTCCCACATGCGTGACGCATACGAGCAGGAGTCAGCCGGGCGCCGGTAGAGTTCCGGGCGTGGGGAAGTGCGGGGCCAGGAGAGCGGATGTGAGGCGGTATAGATTCAAAATAACCTTTCTACATTCACATCCCACTAACTTATCCAAATTTCCAGAATAATATTTCTTCCACTTACGGACATCTAGATTTCCCTCAAACATGTTTGTATATAAATTTGCAAATTTAGAAATGCGTGGTTCTTTGTGACGTGTGCAGCCGGCGGTCATTGGGTCGACTCTCCCTATGAAATAAGTGTAAAGGAAATAATAGTTAGTTTTTAAAAATAGATGATTGATTCCGCGAGTTCCGTAAGCGACACGTGCGAAGAGAGGAGTCGGGCTCCTATAGGACAAGCACATGTCTCTATCGTCAGTTCTAAATCAGTTTTGAGATAGAGCCTCTTGCAGTAGATCGAACTTTCTTCTTGTATCTATGGCATCGGTTAGGCAGAGCTGGGGCCCGGGAGCGAATCCGGAGAGTAGCGTGCCGCGTGGCGAGGCGCAGACGGCGAGGCGAGGCGCCAGCGAGCGAGGCGAGGCGCAGCGAGCAGAGCGAGGCGGGCGGAGCGCGGGGCGGGTGAGCGTGGCGTGCAGATGAGGCGTGCGTGACGGGCCATGGTCGAGCAGCGGAGCGGGGGCACAAGCTCCGGGGCGTCGCGTGCGTGAGGAGATTCGCGCAAAGGCGGGTGAGTCCACGTATGACCCGCCTCGCTGAAACCAATGGGCTGAAGGGCGTGGACGTGACGTCGCCCAGGCGCTATGCAGCAGCAACCGCCTGTGGCGTGGCAGTGGA